TTTTAAGTAAGTATATCTATATATATAAAAGGCTAATATGCAGTGTCCCCTCAGGAGCTCGACTGGGAGACCGGGAGTTCGATCACTCGCTATGATGTGTGCTGACCACCAGGGAGGGGTGGCACAGAAGGAAGGAAGGCCCTGGCCGGCAGCCGGAAGGTCCCAATTGGCCCTGATAGCTGGCCAGGCCTAGGAACCCTACCCATGCACGAAATTTGTGCACTGGGCCTCTAGTTTTGTTATATAGATCTTGTTGAATGAGTCATTAGTTAACAGATTCTTTATTGTTTCTTACATGCAAATAATGTGCCTAAACATTTGAAACTATGCTATATGAGGTATATACATAAATATTCTCTTTCTGTGTCTTTATTCTCTCTCTCTCTCTCTCTCTCTCTCTCTCTCTCTCTCTCTCTCTCTCACACACACACACACACACACACACACACACCACTTAATATTTCTAAACCATTTACTGAAACTTTGGCAGCCGTATATTTTATGGTTGCTTACTTTTTATTCTCATTGTTTGTTTTTTGATGACTTTTCTTCCTTATACAGATATAAGATACTAGAGGCCCAATGCACAAAATTTGTACAAGAGTAGGCCTTCCTTCCCCAGCTGCCGGCACCGGCTTTCCTCTGGCACCTGGGACCCAGGTTTCCCTTGCAGCCCTAGCTTAGTCCGGAAGGACATGCAGAAGGACGTCCGGTCTAATTAGCATATTATGCTTTTATTATTATAGATTATGTTGGAAAGTGAATCCATAGCCAGTGTATGCAAGTCGCTTCTCTCTAAGCCCATCTTCTTCTCATTAAATGTGGGGATTGGGTGAGGAGTTCTTTGATTGTTGTTGCTTTTCATATCTTATAAAAAAGAAAAACTGTTCTTCTTGTTGCTTTCCCAACCTCACTTTTACATTAATTCCCAGTTAGTAACCCACTCCCTATGTGCATTCACCATCTTACCTACCTTGATTTAAACACTGCAATTAGTAATTGAGGGCTCCACTTAATGAGCTTGCAATCTACTTTCATGTGTAGATTTTCTAATTGGTGGTTAGGTTAATAACCATATTTCAGAGATTCTCACTTTACTTGAAATTGACATAGTTGTCGTAACATGCAGAATGAGCTTTGCGGTTTGCTTCCATCAGATGACAAAGTCTATCAGTTCTGTCTTTCCCAGAATTGTGAAGATGTACCCCACTTTAATAAGTATTGGGCTTGGAAATCTACATTTTAAGTTATTACATTAGGAATAATAATTCATCTGACTAAACCTCTTTAAGGAATACAGTAGAGACTCTCTCATATACCCTGTGGATATTGAAATATGATTTGGCTCTTTCACAGCCCTACAGGAATGCTGCATTGTTTAAAATATACCATAGCTGGAGATTTTTTATTTTTGCTTTTGGTTTATTAATTGTTTTGTTCTGCCTTTTGTGGTTGCTGTTGCTGTTTTTAATGCTTTTACAGTACTGAATGTCAATCTATGGATTGTGCATTGGGTAATATACTAGATGAAGTTTGGGGGCAATAGAAATCTTGATTAATGCACAATTAAGCTACTCATTCAGCAGATAATCTGCTGAGAACCAGCTACATTAAAAACAATACTAAGCTCTATCTTAAAAGAATGTTACCAATTTACATTGACAAATATAAATAAGTAATTCAATTATATACAATTTTATGTAACCGTTGTTATTAATACTAAAATATTAGGTATGTGGTGGGTTGAATAGTACCCCCTCCAAAATTCATGTTCATTTGGAACTTCAGAATGTGACCTTATTGGGAAATAAGATCTTTGCGGATATAATTAAAGGATTGAGATGAGATCATATTGGACTAAGGTGGGCCCTAAATCCAACAAGAGTGTCCCTTTATGAGATAAGAATTTTTTAGTTATATATGATAGGAAAAAGTTCTCAAATTCACTTATGGAAAAGGGGAATAATTGGCTCATGTAATTGAAATCCCTGAATAGAACTCTCTAGCTTTAGGCAAAGCTCAACCTAAGATTTCGAATCATGTAACCAGAACGCAGCCTCAAATGGCTCTGCTGTTTATATTGGCTTTATGCTCAGATTTCCTCTGGTTACAAAGATGGCTTTCAGCAGTTCAAGTTCTACATTCTCTTAGGTTCAAGTCTAACCAAAAAAAATGTGAGGTACTTCAAAAAGAGGACATTTAACACAGGAACTTGGCTTCAGAAGAGATGAAAGCACTGAGACAATAAACAGGAGCAGAGGAGACAACCCAGAGATGGGCAACATGAGGAAGCCACTACACTTCTAGGGCTTAGCAATCCAGAAGGCTGTGGCATCAGCAATAGGGTAGGGCTTGCCCAAAAGAAGAGTCAGTCATTACCAGAGATGCCATGTGGGGCAGAGAGAGCGAGGATACCCTGGGTTTTCCCTTTCTGTCCTTTAATCTCCCACCAATGCCCTCCATTGACTGAACCTAACCACACCTAGCTGACAGGGGGCCTATAAAATGCAGGCAGGGTTAGCCCTCCTCCCACCCCAATACAAGCAGAGGGAAGGGGAGGAATGATCTGGATACAAATAGGATATATTATTTAGCATTTTGCTGTGATAATGCTATATAATAAACTACTCCCAACTCTCAGTGGCTTATAATAATAAACATTGATTGTTCTTGCTTGTGGATCTGCAAGTTAGCTCACAGTGGAGGGGAAGGGCACGGCTTTAAGCTGTATGCTGGGTTTAGGTCTCTTCCTTCTGTCTCTCATTCTGGGACTTGCAGTCATCCAGGGCATCCTCTTCTCCTGGCAGATGGCAAAGTGCAAGAGCACAGGTAGAAACGTGTGATGTCCTTGAGGCCTCAGTTCATACTGTCCCTTCCACCCACATTCCACAGCCCGAAGCAAGTCACGTGGACAAGCCCAACATCTATGGGCTGGGACCAATATTCTGCTTACTCTTATGAGAGGCAGCACAAATCACCAGGCAAAGGCGCCCGGGGTATGTAATTCCATTGCAGGAAAAGAGTAAAGAATTTGGAACAATAAGACAACACACACAAATAAATGATCAATACTGCCTACCTCCTACATATACTCCAAGCAAAATATCTCATTTGCTCTGAATGGGTCACCTGCCCAATCCTAAACCATTCACTATGACTTAAGATGTGTGATACTCTGGTTATACCTGAGTCAGATTTCCAGTTCTGAAGCTGCAGTAGAATCCCTAGGACAAGGAAAGGGAGTGGTTTCCCTGAGGAAATCAGAGTACTCTTTTTTAAAAAATATATATGTATATTTTTTAATATATTTTTATTGATCATTAATGATTGACCACCAATAACATAGTTGGTTCCTCTGGTAGTCAGCTCCCATCCAAAAGCAGGTAGAGTTCCACAAACAGTTGTCCTATTAGCATAAACACAGATATAGTCAAAAAGAGCTTGTTATGAATAATGAAAGATGCTCCTACCCACTTAGGAAATTCCAAGGGTTTTAGATGCTCCTTGTCAGAAACTGGGGGCAAAGACCAAAAATATATTTATTGTATCGCAATCAGTTTTCCCCATGACAAGCATTATTATTTGCTCTTATAAGGTCTTGACCGCTTGAATAAACCCAGACGAATAGGATCAACTCCTCACTCTGTATGTCCACAGTGGCCCCTCAGCTCCAGCTCATTTCCCACCACTTTCCCCACAGATGCCTTGTGACCTGGACACCACACTCAGTTCCTCAAATGAGATCTACTCCTTCAGGCATTCCGGAAGTTTAATTCTCTGTTTTAAATGTCCTTTCTCCCCTGGTGGGCTTGCAACTTCCCACTTACTCTTCACTCATCAGCTAAACCCCCTTAGATGGCAGGTGCTGATGCCTTCATTTTACAATGGTAAGACTGAGGCTTAGAAAGGGACTGTGCACCCTATCTCTCCCTCCCCTAGATTACTTGTGGTCTTTTAACATCTGGACAACTCCCCGCCTCCCTCCTTTTGCTCCTGCCCTCACCCCCACCCCCCTTTTCACTTTAAATCCCCTTCTCTCTTACTTTGGCCCATGCAAGGCCTGGCCATCTTTCGAAGCCCAGGGAAGGGCCACCTCTTCCAGGTGACTTTCCCAGTTGAGTCCATACAACACTCCTCTGTGCTTCTTTGTAAGCCCCTCCAGGCAATCACGGTGTCTTAATCATCTTTGGACTCCCCCATGGAGTTCAGCGAAAGAATCTTGTACTTAGTGGGGATTCAAGTTGTTGTTGTAGCAGATGGAACCCAACTGATGGAACCCCAACTCACCCCCTTTTCCACTGACCGGCTATTTTTGGGACGTCAGGGTCGCCCTAGTATTGTAATACAAAAAGAAAACCCTTTCTTGCTAAGCAAGCTCCATTTTGGCTGACTTCAGGAGAAAGGGAGATATAAGCCCATTACTTATAGAAGGTGTTTTATTGTATTCACCAAAGGATAATGGGAGGGAGAATGCAACAGTATAACAATGAAGGAAGGAAATGAACTAATTCCTGCTTTGGGGGGAAGTATACAATAGCTGTGCACCAGGCTGAAGGAGTGTTTTCCAAAAGCAAACAAAACAAAATGATTAATTATATGCACTGAAACCCACAGTGAGCACTTTCAATAGAGAAAAGGGCTGTCCCATCACTGGAGCTCTCTGCATACTCTGAATTTGTAAATGCTGCCTCAAGACTCCGACTACGGGAAGTAGTCCCCCTAAAAGCATAACTAATATGCTTGGGGAATATTTTATATGATAATCATTAACTTTTCTGTATGTTATTCTCTTTGAACTTCAAAGAAAATGAAATGATCAGAGGGCTACTACAAATGAATGAATATTCACCAGGGCTTCACCAGGGATGAAAAAATGTAGCATTAATATTGTGAGAGTTTATCCTTTTGTAGTTTACCCCCTTGGGCTCAATAGGATGTTATTCATCATTTAAAGAAATAAGAGTTTGTGTATTTTTTCAATTTCTGTTCTCAAATAAAAGCCTGTTTCCATTATGTTCAGTTTATTGCCAAAAGTGCACACAACTGTTTAATAAAATATATGCAATAAGGGCAGATGAAGAGCAAACTGAGATTTTTCCCTATTTCAACAAATAGAACTGAAGTAACGATTTAGTTAGGCAAACAGGGCATGCCAATTAGAAGAAAAGATTCCCTGAAGCCGTGTAAAATACAAGTAGAGAAAGTCATTCTACCTAGCCCCGTATTTACAATTGTGGAAGTTACATAATTACTGCATAAATATTCGTCAAAATTCTTGTGTGAAACCAGGCACAAATGAAATGAAGGAAAAGTTTCACATCGGCTTTATGATAGGAGGAAAACAGAGGGCCGGCCCCGCCCCTGGGTGCTCCTCACTGCACATCCCAGATTTCGCAGAGAAGCGGCGTGAACTTGTGGTCATTGACGCGCCAGGACATCAGCATCTCCGCGTGGTGGTGGTTGAATGTCCGCAACTCCGTCAGGCGGCCTAGGAGACAGGCGAAATGCTGGGGGTTCTCAGGCTGATGGATCTTGCACAGCTTCTGCAGCACGTCAAGCAGAGGTTCCTGAAGCTTCTCTACGGCCTCTCTGTCCTTTATGTATTGTCTGTCTGTTTTGAAGTTTGACATAAAACAACAAAGTTAAAAAGTGGAAGGTTTGCCCTAACCGGTTTGGCTCAGTGGATAGAGTGTCGGCCTGCGGACTGAAGGGTCTCAGGTTCGATTCCGGTCAAGGGCATGTACCTTGGTTACGGGTACATCCCCAGTAGGAGGTGTGCAGGAGGCAGCTGATCGATGTTTCTCTCTCATTGATGTTTCTAACTCTCTATCCCTCTCCCTTCCTCTCTGTAAAAAATCAATAAAATATTTTAAAAGAATAAATAAAATTAAAAAGTGGAAGGTTTGGCATAATTATATTAAGGCTAACCTTTAGAATATATATATACTCTAAAGGAGAGAGAGAGAGAGAAACATCAATGATGAGAGAGAATCATTTAGCGGCTGCCTCCTGCATGCCCCACACTGGGGATCAAGCCTGCAATCCGGACATGTACCCTGACCAGGAATCGAACCGTGACCTCTTGGTTCCTAGGCGACACTCAACCTCTGAGCCATGCTGGCCAGGCAAGGCTAACCTTTTTGAAGTGTAACTCACACATGTTGTACAGTTGAAATGTACAAATGAAGTGTTCAACTTGATGAATTTTCACACACTCACTTACATGTACTCATATAATCACAACTATATCAAGATATAGAACATTACATCCTCCCTAAATTCCCCTTTCAATTAATGCCCCCAAAGTAGCATGTATGGTGAACATAAGTATCATTTCTGGTGGGTATAACCCAAGGACTGGAACTTGGGATGTAGGGTTTATACATGTAACACTTTAGTAGATACTGCCAAAATGTTTTTCTTCTTGCCCAGCTGATGTAGCTTAGTGGCTGGACATCAACCTATGAACCAGGAGGTCACGGTTCAATTCCTTGTCAGGGAACATGCCCGTGTTGTGGGCTCATTCCCCAGTATGGGGTATGCAGGAGGCAGCTGATCAATGTTTCTCTCTCATCATTGATATTTCTCTCTCTCTCCCTCTCCCTTTCTCTCTGAAATCAATAAAAAATATAAATCAATAAAAGAAGAAATGTTTTTCTTCTTTTTAATTATAATTTGTTATGGTACAACAAAGTAACAACTAGCTTCTGACTTAATTAATATTATATATAAAATGGTTTCAGGCCACAAATTATGAATGTGGCATCACTTACTCCCAAATAAATAAGCAAAAAATAGAAAAATAAATATACAGAAGTATTCATTTCAACATTGTTTAGAACAACAAAAAATTGGAAGTATTCTGAATGTCCAAACATATGGAAAAAATTAAGTAAATTATTGGTCATCGATTCAATGGAATATGATGCATGCATTACAATAAACCTTTACAGTATAATTTTTTTTAATGACATAGGGAAAGATGTTTGAAGAAAAGTACTTTAAAACAAGACATTATGGTGTGGCTCAATTGGTTGGAGTGTCATCCCATGCACCTAAAGGTTGTGGGTTCAATACCTGGTCAGGGCACATACCTAAGTTGCAGGTTCGATCCCCAGTGGGGGCCTGTGTGAGAGGCAACTGATCAATGTTTCTCTCATACATCAATGTCTCTCTCTCTTTTCTCCCTCTCTCTCTCTTTCTCTCTTTTCCCCACTTCCCCTATCTCTAAAAATCTGTAAAACATACACTCAGGTGAGGATTAAAAAAAATAAAATAGCCCAGCTGGTATGGCTCAGTGGCTGAGTGCCAATCCATGAACCAAGAAGTCACTGGTTCAATTTCCCATCAGGGCACATGCTCAGGTTGCAGGCTCCATCACCAGTGGGGGGGCGGGGGGGGCCTTGCAGAAAGCAGCTGATCAATGATGTTTCTCTCTTATCAATGTTTCTATCTATCTCTCTCTCTCCCTCTCTCTCTAAAAATCAATTAAGACATATATTTTTTTAAAAACTAAGATAGGTGTGACATGGGCTAAAAATAAATGAATAAAATAAAATTTAAAAGACAGTATGCTTTCTATTATGTTAAAAAGTATGTACATAATTTAATTTAGGCTCCTATTTAATAACCCCTGAAAAAAGCCTTACTTGACCACTAATTAAAATAACATTCTACTGCCACTTTCTCTCCTTATAGTCTCATCTTTATATTTTTGTAGCACTTGCCACCTCAATAATCACTACAAATTATTTTTATTTGTTTCTTCATTTGTTGTTTTTCTTACCCTACTGAAATGTAGTAAGCTCCATGTAGCTGTGGCCTGCCTGTTTCTTTACTTCTATATTCCCCAATGTTTAGAACCATGTTTAGCATATAGTAGGTATTAAAAATGCATTTACTGAATGAAAGTGAAGTTTAGAAGAAAGGCTGAGAAGAAATACACTGAAATGTTAACATGATTCAATTTGAAGCAGTGGGATTATAGGCCTTTTTATTTTTTTCTGTTTCTGTGTTTCTCAGATTTTCTTTAATAAACATTATTATGATTATACTGGAAAAATGAACAAATAGCATAAAAATGAAAATCTAACATCAAAATTACCTGGAGAGAGAATAACAATTGCTGTAAGCAGAGCATACTCTTCTTGAGTCATTTTCAATTCTGCCACACTTTTGTAAAAACTAAACATCGGCGTTATGTATTCATCAGAAATACCTGTGGGGGAAATGTGAAAAATTGCAGAGGCACGGTAAAGTTGCTGAATAACTGAAATTGTAAAATTGTAAAATTACAAACACATCACATATACACACACATATGTGAATATTTGCACCCATATCCACACGTTTAAATAATGTCAATATATATTATATGTTCCAGCCAAAGGCTGGGCAAGGGTCAGCTAACAAAATTCTCAAAATAAGAATAAATCAATGATTGGTGAGTCTTTAATTTTGGTAGTGCCTTTGTTTTAGTCACTACTGTCTGACAATAAATGATAACATTCCTGACTTGCCAAAAGAATCTTCTAACGTCACCCATTTTCCAGATGGGGTTTGCTCATCTTTTTCATATTAATATCTATAATCAAGGCATAGATAGCAACTTAAATAAACGCCCCCCAATTATTGTTCTTCAGCCCAGAAGTGTAAACAGCTTCACTTAATAATGTTTAGAGTTCTTATCAGAGGCCTGATATCTCTCTGAATTACCAAACCTATTCATCCATCACCTACTAGGCATTGGTGCCAGGCTGTTCTCTGCAAACTCAACATGTCCAAGATTAAGACACCATGAACAAGATGAAACTCTTCCTCTTCCTGCAAACCCAGCTCATTCCTACTGTTCCCACTCTCAGTGATTGCTACCCTCCCCACCCCGAAGCCCCACCTGACACTGAGATTCAGCCTCCCTCTCGCGTGGTCAGGGCCGACTCCTGTGGTTAGACCTGCTAACTCTCACTGAGCGGCTCCCTCCCCTCTCCACTGCACCTGGAATTAACTTAGTTTAAGTCTTGATCCTCTTCATCGCACTGCAATGGCCGCCTCACTGGTCTTCCTGTCTTCAGTTTAGTCTCCTTCTACCCATCTCAGGATTACCTTTCCAAAATTCAAATCACACCCTGACTCCTCACTTCCTACAAACCTTCAAAAATTCTCCATGGCTTCTGGCATAAATGTTCTCCCTTTTTACATAGGAAACTCCAGGACCTGTCCCCTGCCTACCCCACCACCCACTGCTCGCCCACATGAGAATCATAGGAATTCACAATTATTTAGTGCACTGTTCCAAACACTTCTTATGCTATAGCTCATTTAATCTTTCTAACATACCATGAGGTAGGTACAGAGAGGTTATATAACTTGCCCAAAGACACAGCTGGTGAGAGCCAGGATTCAAACCAAAACTTGCAGGCTCCAGCGTCCTGGCTCGTAGCTGTGACTAAGCTGCACGACCTCCCCATTATATCTCACGGCCTTTACTCCAGCCATTGCAGTTCCTAAACAGTTCCCATCGCCCAGTTTTTTAAAAATTAATCCTCACCTGAAGATATGTTTTTGTTGAATTTTTAGAGAGAGGAAGGGAGAGAGCGAGAGCAAGAGCAAGAGTAAGAGAAACATCAATGTGGGAAAAACATTGATGGTTGCCTCCCACACTTGCCCTGACTGGGGATCGACCCACAACCCAGATATGTGCCCTTCCCTGGAATCAAATCCAGAACCTTTTGGTGTATGGGACGACACCTGAACCAACTGACCACCTGGCCAGGGCACATTACCCAGGTTTTACACTTGTTGTTCTCTCTACTTGAAATATCCTCCTTCTTTCTTTATCTAGCTTGCCCCACTTTGTAAATTAAGGCTCCTTTGTGTTACTTCCTCCACTGATTCAACAAATACTAGTTTGGTGCCTGTTCTGGGCACAGATCCACTCCAGAAGAGCTTTGACAGCGGAATGTGGAGACAGGGAAAAATAAGACTATGATGTGCCTATGGATGAACTGAGAGGAACACGAGTTCCCAGGATTGGGCCACACTAGGCCGCTCTATTCCATCCCACACCAGACCTAAAGCCATAGAGCTTTGGAGAGCCAAACCAGGACAAAACTGGATTCCAGTTTCTAGAACATATAAGTATCATCTGATACTACACTTCACAGAATCAGAAAGTCTAAATCCTCACCTCTAGAAGAATCTAAAGAAGCATCGCAAACCAAATCCTTGGTCTTTCTCTTTAGTCAAAATACCATGCTTTTCTCCCCTTTGACTTTTGATTCTTGAAATGATTCCCGTGGGTTCTCTTAATAATAGTGTTGTTGTGGAGCACCTTGGGGATTGCATCCTGTGGAAGACTGCCCTCTAGCCAGCTGTTTCCGGTTGAACTGAATGTCCAGGACCAAACTAGATATAACTTAAAATGCAGAGGGTTGGAGTGTGAGAGAGCCTGGGAGTATCAGTCCTGGCTTCCAGCAAACAGTGGTTAAGAGGTAGTAACCAGTTCTGAGTTTGAAATCTGACCTATGACTTGGTCTTGGGCACATTACTTAAACTCTTTAAGCCTCAGTTTCCTCATCTGTGAAATGTGAATTACAACAATAGTAGCATATGAGATAATATATGTAGAGTGCCTGGCTAAGAGTAAAACCTGCATAAATATTACAGCCAATAATTATTATAAGAGTTATGATTATTGTTATTCAGGAGAATTGGATGAATGCATTAGTTCTATCTTAGTATCAATTCATTGTAATCTTAGGTTAAGCTCATATACCTTTGTGTATACAAAGCTGTGTGTGTTTTTTTGTTGTTGCTGTTGTTTTTAATAATTCTTTATTGTTGAAAGTATTACATATGTCCCCCTTTTTTCTCTCATTGACCCCCTCCAGTCCGCCCCCACCCCCCACCCTCCATCCCAGGCCCTCACCGCCCCATTGTCTGTGTCCATGTACCATGCATATATGCATACAAGGTCCTTGGTTGATTACCTCTCACCCATCCACCCTCCCCCGCCTTAAGGCAAAGCTATGTTTTTGTTTTGCTTTATAGTCTGCTGTTTCCTAGGGATGAATACAAATTGGCTGATCAGTGATTTGCTTCAGCATTTTTCTAGATAGTAAATTTTCTTGGTAGGGTTGTCCTTTTACATCTTCAAACAATGTCAGTCTTTGGCACTTGGGAACAACACCTATTAGTTGTGGTTATCTAAAATAATAACTCATGACTGTGCCATTATTTTACATATTCCATGAAAATTTGGGAGTAATATTAAAGGCAGCTGATTTTAAAATATTTAATTAAAAATATATATATATATATTTAATTTTTAGAAATTGTCTTTGACTACCTAATTTTTTATTTTATTTGTCTTTCCAAACCCCCACTTACTTTCCAAACATGCTATCTCTGTTACAGTGTAACAGAATCTAATTGCAGTTGATAATTTTAGAAAAATAGGTTAAAATGAAAAAAGTGAACATAGAGAAGATGTAGAAAAACATAATAGAAGGGTTTTAAAAAATTATTTTCCTACAGGATAGATCAAATAGAAATCTGCTTTTGAATTAGAATCAATAATCAGAATTAAGCCCTGGCTGGGTAGCTCAGTTGGTTAGTGTCGTCCTAATATGCCAAGGTTGTGGGTTTGTTCCCCGGGCAGGGCACATTTAAGAATCAACCAATGAATGCATTAATAAGTGGAACAACAAATCGATGTCTCCCCCCCCCCTTACTCTCTCTCTCTCTAAAATAAATAAAATATCAGAATTAACCACAACAGCATGAACAAAGAAGTGTTTTAAGTCTCTATGAACAGCAATTTCTGACGTAAAAATGTAATAATAACATCTTCCTGAAGGGGCAGTCTTTTCCCATTTTCCTGCTTCCTCCTTCCTGGAGACCTGCTTAAGGTTTGCTTCAATTGGGCTCTTTATGCCCAATTTGCTGATTTTTGGTCACAAGGGGGCACTATTTTCTAACTTAAACATAAAGACTACTACGAAAAGTCCAAAGTTGTGAAAAACCATTTATATTTCTATTCCTCTGGTTCTTCTTTTCCTTTCTTTATCCAATGTTTTCTTGTTTCATTATTATTTTTAAAAAAGAGATCTGTGATTGATATATTAACTGGTCAATGATAAGAAATATTCTTTGAAAGAATAACTATCTGATAGAATCAACACTATGCTGTTGTAAGTAATTTTAAATGTAATTGTCTTTTATTTCCTAATTAACTTTCTAGTTTTCATTGGAGATAAAAATAGAGCAGAGGTAGGTGTGTGTGTGTGTGTGTGTGTGTGTGTGTGTGTGTTGCACAAATGTGCATTTTTATACAAGGGATCCTTGTTAGGCTAGGACGCCCCATCCAGGTTTCAAGGTCAAATGCAAATTTTGTTCTCTCTCAGGAGCTTCCTCTGTCACCGTGTATCAGAATTAGTTGCTCCCTTCTCTATGTTCAATTCTATTGCACTTGTCACAACTCATTTCTTTCCAACCCATTAGAATGTGAAATACCATATAAATGTTATGAGAGTAGGAACCAACTATTCCAGTGCCTGGCACACTGCCTGGCCAGTAAAGCGTGCTCCACAGATGCTTCTTGTTCATCTCTGTATCCTTAGTAACCAGCATGCTGCTGAGACATGGCAGGAGATTAATAAATGCATATTAAATTAGGCAATATTACATTTTGCTAGTTCTTATGATGAAGGTGACATAGTTATGAGATGTGATGGGGGAAAGGATGCTATTAAGACAATGGAAACATTCTCATGATGCGAAGAGAATGGACTCTAGCCTACAGCTAACTTGTACTCAGAGTCATTTGTGCCACAGTGTTGGTCTTAGTAAAAGCCTGCCAACAGCTCTAGCTGGTTTGGCTCAGTGGATAGAGCATCAGCCTTTGGGCTGAAAGGTCCTGGGTTCAATTCCAGTCAAGGGCACATACCTGGGTTGCAGACTTGACCCCTGGCCCTACTCGGGGCATGTGCATGAGGCAACCAATCGATGTGTCTCTCTCACATTGATGTTTCGCTCTCTCTGTGTCTCTCCCTGTTCCACTCTCTCTAAAAATCAATGGGAAAATATCCTCAGGTGAGGATTAACAATAAGAAAATATATAATAAATAACACACCTCCCATTAGTCCTAGTGGCTAAAAGTTATCTGGCCAAATTAGACCTCACCAGTGCTTAGGAATTGAAAGGGTTTGGACTATCAA